AATTCTTTGGGTGGCAAATATCGTTTTTCGAAAGCGTTTGACCGCGATATTATTAAACACATAGTAAAACTAATTCATAGCAGCAGAGTTCTGTCAGTTAAGAAGCTAATGTTGTATTTACAAGTTCGTCAAGTACACGTACTACTTTAGTGCCCTGCTGCCAACTTAGTTGACGCGCAATATATTCGACTAGTGACGAGGAAGTATCAGGGGAAGAACAAGCCCATTCACAAACAGTTTTAAGATGTTGCTGAATCGAATCGTTTCGTTCTCATCACGTCTTAACTTCATCTGTAATCAATTACAGGAACGAAGTACGGCAACATGGAATCCATTTTGTTAAGTAGGTTTAATTTTTGTTTGATTTCGATTTTTTTTTTTCGGGCTGAGGGCTTGGCATCATTTATTATGGGTAGCGTTAAGTCCATTTATTGTGATAGTAATTGATATGGTTTAAAGAAATGGAAAATGCGAGCACTTAATCCCTGTATGTAAGTAGAAATACATTTGAAGCGCATTTTTATTGCGAAAAGTTTCATTTTGACCTAAAATTAAAAATCTGGGATGAAAGACAACGAAGAAAAGTGTGGCTCTTGGAGGGTGTCCACTTGATTATGATGGAAACTCGATTTGATACCAAGAAACCAGAAAAAAAAACAATTGCACAAAGGAAAACAGGCCAGAAATTCTTAAAAGTAAAATAACGTGCATTTCCGTACACTTCTTGGTCACTGTTCAATTTCTTTCATTCTAAAGAATAAGTTGTTCCCAACAATCCAGTAGATCAACTCGTTCGTTTATTGAGATTCAATGAATATATGAAGTTTATATATTTTGAACTGCGCTATTAGATACGTATGATGCACGACCCTCGCAGTAGATAGCGCTATTTATGCAATAGCGAAAATCAGACCTGAAAAAAATCAGGTCTGTACGGGACTCGAACCACTGACCTCTGCGATACTAGTGCAGCGCTCTACCAATTGAACTAACAAGCCAACTGGGAGCAGGCTGTTAAGTTGATTCGTAATAAACTCGTGAAAGTGATAAATGAGATACAATGAATATATTCATTGAAAGTGATAAATGAGATACAAGGAATATATTCATTGTATCTCATTTATCACTTTCACGAGTTTATTACGAATCAACTTAACAGCCTGCTCCCAGTTGGCTTGTTAGTTCAATTGGTAGAGCGCTGCACTAGTATCGCAGAGGTCAGTGGTTCGAGTCCCGTACAGACCTGATTTTTTTCAGGTCTGATTTTCGCTATTGCATAAATAGCGCTATCTACTGCGAGGGTCGTGCATCATACGTATCTAATAGCGCAGTTCAAAATATATAAACTTCATATATTCATTGAATCTCAATAAACGAACGAGTTGATCTACTGGATTGTTGGGAACAACTTATTCTTTAGAATGAAAGAAATTGAACAGTGACCAAGAAGTGTACGGAAATGCACGTTATTTTACTTTTAAGAATTTCTGGCCTGTTTTCCTTTGTGCAATTGTTTTTTTTTCTGGTTTCTTGGTATCAAATCGAGTTTCCATCATAATCAAGTGGACACCCTCCAAGAGCCACACTTTTCTTCGTTGTCTTTCATCCCAGATTTTTAATTTTAGGTCAAAATGAAACTTTTCGCAATAAAAATGCGCTTCAAATGTATTTCTACTTACATACAGGGATTAAGTGCTCGCATTTTCCATTTCTTTAAACCATATCAATTACTATCACAATAAATGGACTTAACGCTACCCATAATAAATGATGCCAAGCCCTCAGCCCGAAAAAAAAAAATCGAAATCAAACAAAAATTAAACCTACTTAACAAAATGGATTCCATGTTGCCGTACTTCGTTCCTGTAATTGATTACAGATGAAGTTAAGACGTGATGAGAACGAAACGATTCGATTCAGCAACATCTTAAAACTGTTTGTGAATGGGCTTGTTCTTCCCCTGATACTTCCTCGTCACTAGTCGAATATATTGCGCGTCAACTAAGTTGGCAGCAGGGCACTAAAGTAGTACGTGTACTTGACGAACTTGTAAATACAACATTAGCTTCTTAACTGACAGAACTCTGCTGCTATGAATTAGTTTTACTATGTGTTTAATAATATCGCGGTCAAACGCTTTCGAAAAACGATATTTGCCACCCAAAGAATTCGAAATACAATTATATCTTATACTGTTAATATAGGTTTGAGGTGTTATACTCTATTTCTTTTTTTGTAGAGACAGTTTGCTTGTGAGAGAAAACGAAAGCGAAAAAAGTAGGAATTCTGATAAGGACAGATCTACTTTAATGCTGCGAGCGACGATTTCATTGTATCATACCACTTGTACTTAATACTCAGTCGTGGTCAAATTAAAGCTATTCCACTCTTCAAGTTTTAATAGTTCTTATCGTTTTCGCAAGCGTACAGACCACATTGCTAAAATACATGCACTGAAGGAATTTTTTTGACGTAGAGGTCAAATTCGATTTGAAGAAAGCCTGCTGCTTGCATAAAAGGCTAAATCGGGATTTCATTGCAATTGCATAAATTTAATCAGATGTAAACAAAACTGAAACGCAACATGTTCTACATATTCACGGGAAACCACGATCTTTTTAAGCTATTGTGTATGGAACAATTGTTTCATTACTTGTTGAAAATGTTATTTAAAGAAGACTTTTCAACACTAAGCTTTGGGGGTAGACCGCTGTCTCTTTCAAGATGTCTCGTTTCATTTTTCATTTCACAGCTATATGTTTACTTTATCCCATTAAATACCGTGGCTCTAGAGTAAGATAGTTTGGACGTTTAACGGACGTGTGTGTTGAGATTTTCTTCTTTATTGCTTTGCTTTTTTCTTTTTTGGTTGACAGTCAGTGTATTTACTCTTCTTCAGTCATAAATCGTATAGAGAATGTATTCAGATTATTTTCGCTAAGTTCAGCTAACCTTGCTTTCTTTTCATCGTGTTAATTGTTTGGACAGAACAAATTTAACTGAATATAACTAAACATCGTTTTAGTTTATGAAAGTTGGAAAGATCGAAATCGCAGTGGTTGATCACAAGAGTTACTAACGGGCAATATCCAGAGCGTGAGATAAAAATGCTATGAGCATGTGGCCCTTTTTCCATCCTTCTATCTGCACAGCTTGAAACAGCCACCATGACTACACGATTACGCTGTGACTTCTTCTACCAACTGAGTATTTGTTAAGTATTAACCTTATTTTGCAATGATTTATGTTTGCTTTTCTTCAGACTTTATAGTTTTTTGTTTTATTTTTGTTTTGTTTTGTCTGTTTTTTTTTTTCACCCTTTCAAGGAGTGACCCTATGAAACTTGTGAAGAGCGAGCGACAAATATTAAAATCAACGTACCTTTGCAGATGGCTGTCGTATTTTGGAATTCAAGCCAGATATGAAAGATTTTACTCAGCAAGGTTTCGTTAGAGCGTCGAGGTACAAAGAGAAAGTGAATGTAAAGCGAGATGCTTTTGATTCAGGAACACAACTGCGTGTCTCTTAATGTTGGTCCCTTGGGAGAAATTGGAGCTTACCCGTGTGAACAGAGTGATTGTGATGATGAGGAGCACTCTGAGGCGCTCAGGAAAAATGATGAATTCGCTTACCAGTGGACTGTGATAAGTTTCTAAGCATGCAATATATGAAACTTAATTTTTTCCAGCCTTTTTTTACACATTGACTTTACTGAGACAATTACGTGTTCTGAAAGGAAGATGTCCAAATAATATGGGGTCAATAAAGATCGTTTTGCTTTTATTCATGCAACATGAATTTCTCACTTTTACAAAGATTTTCTTCTATGTATGTAGTTCGACTCTGGAGCATTTTACAGGTTATGTTTGTAAGTTTGCGAAGCACAGCGTAAGATTTCTGTAATATCATGACGAATAACAAACAAATACTTTAAGTAAAGCAGTGATCCTCACAGGTGAGCTGTTAAGCAATAGCAGAGTAGAAACCTAAAAAAAACTTAGACTTACACGGGGACTCGTTCCCGTGCCTCCTTGATACTAGTTGGTGGTACTGTTTTAGAGTATTTTAAAGGATTGCTATTTCGAGTATTTGTAGGTTTACCTTTGTTTTGATGAGTCTGGCCTTTTTGCGTCTACATGTTGTTTTTGTAGATCTGTATTTTTGATCTTTTATTTTTAGTGTGCGCTTGAACTTGGCTAAGTTCGCGGATTTCCTTCTTGTCGTGCTAGACATTTTAATCGCTTGTTATGGTCGAGAATAATCATGTCATGTTTGGGTTGGTAAAACTGAGCTTGAGTTTTACTCACACTGAATATCCTGTTTTGGAAATTCCCACGGTCAGCTAACCCAAACATGTCTGTGATTTTTACATTAAATAAGAGGGTACTCCTTGCTGAAGTTGGAGGAGAAATAGCCGTGGTAGTAGAAGGTAGTAGCAAAAGTAGAAGAGTAGGGAATAAAGAAGAAAATTAACAGAATCTTGGTACCTCTTGTTAATTCGCTAAGCGAGTGGTAACCCCCCCCCTCTCAACACCAACTATTAACTGAGCTATGAAGACACACACTGGAAGCCGGGCATACTTCAGAGGGTTCTTCTTTCCCTTGGAGGAATCTGATCATATTTTGAATGAAATAAATGTAATTTTACCTACGGATGAAAATGAAGTAAGCACGGGGGCTTCGCAGGTGACCTGCATTTAAACAGATAAAGCCCCGTTTAAGTTTAAATTCGATGACGTAGAGGACAGGGATTCCTCACATAAGCGTTCTAAAATCACTCAATTCACACAGGTAGGCTCCAGTTTCCCGCGGAAGAGTTTGGATTGGAAGCCAAGAAACAGACCATCGTGTCTGTGTGTGTGTGTGTGTGTGTGTGTGTGTGTGTGTGTGTGTGTGTGTGTTTGTGTGTATGTAATAATGACACGCATGCTAAATACATTCGCCAAAATAGCGTTAAAATGACTACAAGCGATAAAACGAGCTACGGAATAAAAGTAAGGAGACCCAACATGTAATATTCCTCGCTTTCATTCTCTTTTTAATTTGTTTCAACTTTTTTATAGTTTTTCCCTTTTTGACGATCCACGCTCACACTTAAAAATTCAGTCCTAATATTAAAGTTATTAACGTTAACGACCTTTAGACCTTAAAATCACACACAGTACGATTGGACCGCTTGTGGAAAAAAGTGTGATGAGAGCGAATTCGGTATTGAGTAAGATTTCAATGCATTCTATCAATTATGTTCAATAGTGATTCGCCAACGTAGAGCCATTCACCCCACTAAGATTTAGTTTTTTGTTACTCTCTTCTAAATCTCATTTTTAATTTACGATCTGTGTTGTTAAACTAAATGGGCTGAGGCGAATTTGATTGATGTTAATAGCTTTTACGCAGAGAGCAAATTAGATTGGCGAAAAAACCTCTTGCATATGAAGCTACAAAGCCCTCACCGGGATTTCACGTCATGCATCATCTTTTATTTAGAGGTAGTTCCAAGCTCACACCATTACTCTACTAAGATATCAATACACTAAGTCAAGAGTCAATGAGTTAACGGGTATTACAATCCACGGGAAACCATGATATTTTCAAACTATTGGCTATGGAACGATTGTTTCCTTAATTGACGAGAATGCAATATATATGATTCTAAGAGGAAGTGTTTTCAGTTCTAAGCCTTGGAATGAAGTGTATACACGGAGTTGTTCTCGATACTTTTCGTGGTACAGTTCTTTCCTTCCCAAGATGTCTCGCCTCACTTTAATTCTTCAGCTATGCGTTTGCCTAATTCCTTCAACGGCTGTGGCTGAAGATGGTATGATATACTTTGGACGTTTAACAAACTTTTGTGCTGAATCGCCAAACGAAACTAGTGGCTATACTTATTACGTAAAAAAGAGCGACATAAATTTGAACCAAAGAGGGGATTGAATCATGGATTATTCTGTTTACATCCGTCGGGTAATAGTTGTTAACGGAAGTTTTAAGACTTTTTTTACCTTTTTTTTTCTATCCAGATTCAGAGTATTCACTCATTGCTTCTTCAATCATACACCATCTAAACGCACTTATGAGTTATATTCGGAGTGTGAGATAAGTGGCACATGAACATCTGTCCTTTTTCTATATCTTTTTTACTTGCACAGCTTGAAGCAGCCACCATAGTTACATTGTAACTTCCCTTGCTAAACTGTATGTTTGCTTAATTTAAGATGTTTTGTTTGTTAGCGTTTGCTATCGTCTTTGTGGTTTTTTATTTTTTTTCTCTTTTGAGTTTCTTCTTATTTTTGCCTTGTTTGTTGTTTATGTTTATCTGTTTGTTTCGTTTAAGGGACGAGGATCCGACTTTTAAAAAAGAAAATAGGACATTGGAAAATAGAAATAGATGATTTAGTTTTTGGGTAGGCTCAGTTAATAAAGAAAAAAAAAGCAATCTTCTTTTTAGGGAGATCTTTCACAGGAATTGTATAGGGGTATTCACGTTAAAATATTAGAATTAATATTACTCTTTTTCACCATTATATTAGTATCCCATTCGACTCCAACAGAGCAGGAAACCTCCATGACACCTAGTGGTAATATGAATGACTATTTTGTGTCTTTGTCATTTGATCATAAATTTGGATCCTGAAGAATGGTAGTGTGCAGTCGAAACAACAATAAAAAAAAGTTACATCTAAATACACCGAGAACTACACTCATTTCGACCTTTCTGTTTTTTTCAAAAACAAAATAGGACATT